TGATCCAACTTTTACAACAGAAAATTAAAGAAAAAGAGAAGCACGAGTGAACCTAAAGATACGAGAAACTGAACAATTGCCAAGCAATTGTGATGTGTAGGCCTGGTATGAATCTGACTCACTCCACCTGCAAAATGAACATGGACACACTTCAACACAAATGTGTGCACATCACAGAGCCCTAGCACCACAGGCTGTGCACACCCTGAGGGGGCCACCACACCTGCACCTCACACACCTGCCCACACCCTGAGGGGAGCCACCACACCTGCACCTCACACACCTGCCCACACCCTGGGGGAGCCCCCACACCTGCACCTCACACACCTGCCCACACCCTGAGGGGGCCACCACACCTGCACCTCACACACCTGCCCACACCCTGGGGGGGCCACCACACCTGCACCTCACACACCTGCCCACACCCTGAGGGGGCCACCACACCTGCACCTCACACACCTGCCCACACCCTGGGGGAGCCCCCACACCTGCACCTCACACACCTGCCCACACCCTGGGGGAGCCCCCACACCTGCACCTCACACACCTGCCCACACCCTGAGGGGAGCCCCCCACACCTGCACCTCACACACCTGCCCACACCCTGAGGGGGCCACCACACCTGCACCTCACACACCTGCCCACACCCTGAGGGGGCCACCACACCTGCACCTCACACACCTGCCCACACCCTGGGGGAGCCCCCACACCTGCACCTCACACACCTGCCCACACCCTGGGGGAGCCCCCACACCTGCACCTCACACACCTGCCCACACCCTGAGGGGAGCCCCCACACCTGCACCTCACACACCTGCCCACACCCTGGGGGAGCCCCCACACCTGCACCTCACACACCTGCCCACACCCTGAGGGGAGCCCCCACACCTGCACCTCACACACCTGCCCACACCCTGAGGGGAGCCCCCACACCTGCACCTCACACACCTGCCCACACCCTGAGGGGAGCCCCCCACACCTGCACCTCACACACCTGCCCACACCCTGGGGGGCCCCCCACACCTGCACCTCACACACCTGCCCACACCCTGGGGGGAGCCCCCACACCTGCACCTCACACACCTGCCCACACCCTGAGGGGAGCCCCCCACACCTGCACCTCACACACCTGCCCACACCCTGAGGGGAGCCCCCCACACCTGCACCTCACACACCTGCCCACACCCTGGGGGGAGTCCCCCACACCTGCACCTCACATACCTGCCCACACCCTGGGAGGAGCCTCCACACCTGCACCTCACACACCTGCCCACACCCTGGGGGGAGTCCCCATACCTGCACCTCACACACCTGCCCACACCCTGAGGGGAGCCCCCACACCTGCACCGCACACACCTGCCCACACCCTGGGGGGAGCCCCCCACACCTGCCCACACCCTGAGGGGAGCCCCCCACACCTGCACCTCACACACCTGCCCACACCCTGAGGGGAGCCTCCCACACCTGCACTTCACACACCTGCTCACACCCTGGGGGAGCTCCCCACACCTGCACCTCACACACCTGCCCACACCCTGGGGGAGCCTCCACACCTGCACCTCACACACCTGCCCACACCCTGGGGGGAGTCCCCCACACCTGCACCTCACATACCTGCCCACACCCTGGGAGGAGCCTCCACACCTGCACCTCACACACCTGCCCACACCCTGGGGGAGTCCCCATACCTGCACCTCACACACCTGCCCACACCCTGAGGGGAGCCCCCCACACCTGCACCGCACACACCTGCCCACACCCTGGGGGGAGCCCCCCACACCTGCCCACACCCTGAGGGGAGCCCCCACACCTGCACCTCACACACCTGCCCACACCCTGAGGGGAGCCTCCCACACCTGCACTTCACACACCTGCTCACACCCTGGGGGGAGCTCCCCACACCTGCACCTCACACACCTGCCCACACCCTGGGGGGAGCCCCCCATACCTTCACCTCACACACCTGCCCACACCTGGGGCGATCCCCCACACCTGCACCTCACACACCTGCCCACACCCTGGGGGGAGCCCCCACACTTGCACCTTACACACCTGCCCACACCCTAGGGGGAGCCCCCACACCTGCACCTCACACACCTGCCCACACCGTGAGGGGAGCCCCCACACCTGCACCTCACACACCTGCCCACACTGTGAGGGGAGCCCCCACACCTGCACCTCACACACCTGCCCACACCGTGAGGGGAGCCTCCACAACTGAAGCTAACATCACAGGTTGCAGTGAAGTCAGCTCTGATTCTTAACTTCTGCATGGCAGGGCAGAGAATTAGGAAGACCGTACAAAACCCCCAAAGCCCTCTCAAGGCTCTGGCTACTAGATCCTTCTTGCTGGGATGAAATCTCAGTCAACTAAGAGAAAATTAAGGGAATGCTTCTGGTACCAGTGGACAAAGTTCAGGGATGCTGTTTAATATCTTCCAATAAACCAGACAGTACTCTCCATCCCGCACTCCCCCCCCCAAAAAAAGAGAGAGAAAACTATGTCAGTAACACTGAGGTCTCCGCATCTGGAAAGAGCTATCGGTGAGCTACCTGAAATCCTTTTGAGAATGAAGAGCAAAAACAATCAAGTGACACACCCACGAACTGGAGGAAATCTTACCTGGAAGGCTTACGGACTTTTATTTTTATAGTTATTTACTTAAAGGAATCTTCTCCCCAGAGCAAATTCTGGCTCCATGCCAACACAACATAAAACTAAAGAACAGCCCTGGCCGGTTTGGCTCAGTGGATAGAGCGTCGACCTGCGGGCTGGGGGGGTCCCAGGTTCGATTCCAGTCAAGGGCCTGTACCTTGGTTGCGGGCACATCCCCGGTGGAAGGTGTGCAGGAGGCAGCTGATCAATGTTTCTTTCTCATCAATGTTTCTGACTCTCTATCCCTCTCCCTTCCTCTCTGCAAAACAATCAATAAGATATATTAAAAAAACAACAACAAACAAACAAAACTAAGGAACAAATAAAACACAGACTCACAGATACAGAGGCAGACTGAGTGTTGTCAGATGGGAGGGGGGCTGGGGGACTTGCAAAAGGTGAAGGGATTGAGAAGTACAGATTGGCAGTTAGAAAACAGTCACAGGGATGTAACGTACAGCACAGGGAATACAGTCAATATTCTACACTAATAAAAGACAAACATGCAAATTGACCATACCTTCGCTATGCCTTAAGCCACACCCACCAGCCAATCAGAGTGACTATATGCAAATTAACCCAACCAAGATGGCAGGCCACAGCCACAGAGATGGAGCGAGCAGGAGGCTTGGTTGCCCCAGTGAAGGAGGAAGCCAAGCTTCCCGCCTGCAGTGGCCGGATCTGAGCTCCACTCAAGGCAATGAAGTTTCAACTGTAGAAGATAAATAAACCCCAGATACCTACTTTCAGCTGGCCGTGGCCACGGAGCTGGAGCGAGAAGGAGGCTTGGGTTGCCCCTGGCAATGGAGGAAGCCAAGCTTCCTGCCCGCCCTGGCTGGCTCTGAGATCCACTCAAGGCTACAAAGTTTCAATTATAAAAGGTAAATAAATCCCAGAATAAAAAAAAAAAAAAGGAGAGGCTGGGAGATTCTGTCTCTGGGGGTGCTTGGCCAGCCTGAAAACGGCCCTCAGCCCCTCACCCAGGCTGGCCAGGCACCCAAGCGGGACCCCCACCCTGATCCGGGACACCCTTCAGGGCAAACTAGCCAGCCCCCACCCATGCACCAGGCCTCTATCCTATATAATAAAAGGGTAATATGCAAATTGACCCTAACAGCAGAACAACTGGGAATGACTGGTGACTATCACACACCGACTACCAGGGGGCAGACGCTCAATGCAGGAGCTGTCCCCTGGTGGTAAGTGCACTCCCACAGTGGGAGCTCTGCTCAGCCACAAGCCAGGCTGATGGCTGCCAGCACAGCGGTGGTGGCGGGAGCCTCTCCCGCCTCCTCAGCAGCACTAAGGATGTCCGATTGCAGCTTAACTCTGCTCCCTGCTGGTAAGTGGACATCCCTTGAGGGCTGCCGGGCTGCCAGAGGGATGTCTGACTGCCATCTTAGGCCCGTTCCCCCCAGGGAGAGGGCCTAAGCCAGCAGGTGGACATCCTCCGAGGTCCCAGACTGCAAGAGGGCATAGGCCAGGCTGAGAGACCCTCCTAAGTGCACAAATTTTTGTGCACTGGGCCTCTAGTACTATAATAACTATGTACGCTGCCAGAGGGGTATTTGAAATATCAGGGGTCTATTTTGTAAAATACATGGCTGTCTAACCACTATGCTGTACACCTGAAACTAATCTACACTAATAAAAGAGAAAGATGCAAACTGACCGTACCTTCGTGGCGCCCACCAGCCAATCAGGAGTGAGAATGCAAATTAACCCAACAAAGATGGCGGGTTAATTTGCATACACAGGCACCAAGCGTCCCGCCCTGCCCCAGCCACTCCCAGCCTCTGGGCAGCATGGGAAGGCAGAAAGGCGGCTCCAGGCCAAGTGAAGGCGGAAAGGCGGCTCCGGCCGGAGCGAAGGCAGTGCCGGTAGCCAGGGGAAGGAAGGCCCATTATTGCACAAATCTTCGTGCATCGGGCCTCTAGTACAAAATAATATTGAATGTGAACTGTAATTGAAAAGTAAAATGTAAGCCCTAGATGGTTTGGCTCAGTGGATAGAGCATCGGCCTGCGGACTCAAGGGTCCCAGGTTCGATTCCGGTCAAGGGCATGTACCCGGGTTGCGGGCACATCCCCAGTAGGGGGCGTGCAAGAGGCAGCTGAATCGATGTTCCTCTCTCATCGATGTTTCTAACTCGCTATCCCTCTCCCTTCCTCTCTGTAAAAAAAATCAATAAAATATATGTAAAAAAAGAAGAAAAAAAAAGAAAAAGAAAATGTAAAAGAAACTGGTTATGTGACCACTCTAATTTCAGCATGCAGTTGTGGAGGTAACTGGAGAGAATGGGCAGATGGGAGGCGAAGGTAGCAGAGGCAACAGGAGGAGCTCACCTAGTCCTCCCGGACCCGCCAAGAGGAACTCCTGCCTCCCTATCCGCTTGACGATGGGGCGCTTCTCCTCGCTGCAGTAAGGAAACAGGTCCTGGGCGGCGCCCGTGCTGTAGTTCAGGATGATGTACTGCGTGGTCAGAGCCAGGCACAGGAAGTGGCCGTCCACCGCCACCGCCAGGGGCTGCTCCGGCGTGGACACCTCCCTGACGATCTGGACCCGGTCCTCGTACACCATGAACACCTGGATGGTTCGGCGTTTCACAGAGATGATGCAGACCTCCACACAAAACGGGTCCCCGCTCACGGGGTTCTCGTTCAAGGCCAACGCCACGGCCCCCTTGATGCGGGCCCCCGAGGGGACAGGCTCCAGGCTCAGCATGTGGACCAGGGTGATGGAGCAGTCACAGAGCACCAGCAATCTGTGCAGGGCCGAGGCGGCTCGCAGCTCACACACTGGCTTCCGGAGGCCCAGCTGTCTGTGCAGCTGCTTGGTGGCCGTGAACGTGGCCGTCCCGGCAGGCAGGCTCTGCTCCTCCAGCAGGAAGTGGTAGATGGAGCAGTCGTTGGTGCCCACGTAGAGGTTCTTGCCGCAGCACTCCACGCACTCGATGTTGACGCGCTCCTTGTCGCCCATCAGCAGCTCCCGCTCCACGGCAGAGACCAGCGTGAAGGCCTTGGTGCTCATCATGCCCGCTGCTGGTCTGCAGGAAGAAGAACGGAAAATGGTGTTTACCTCACGAGGAGGGAGCAGAGCCATTTCAGGTCACAATAAACACACTGACTCCTCAGTTACAACTTCAGGGAAGGGAAAGCATTCAACACTGTTAAAAACAGGGAAGGCAGAAGGTTTCCCACTTGCCTCCCCCCCCCCAGACCAATGGGAGAGGCCAGCAGGAGAGCAAGCGCTCATCCAAAGGAGGGGCGGGGGAGTGCGGGCCATGTGGGCTTCCTCGCTCTGTATAGGAGACACACCTGCAGGCAGAAGAGAAGCACACATATCCCCACAGACAACAGAAAACTGTGAAACTGTGGAAAAGGCAGAAGCGACCCTCGCGATCTTGCCCTGAGTTCTGCATGTAGTGAATGGTGGGACGCACTGCATGGTGCTGCTAAACCCTGCCCGGGACCCTGTCGGGAACCTGGGCAGGAGCCACACTCGCTTCCTATGAGGGTTCTTCCCTACGAGGGTGCACGTGGTCCAGCACCACAGCTGGCCCCAGAGTAAGCGTGTCTGTGTGGAGGAAAGGCGGGCACATCTCCACGTCTCTCGGGAGGGCTTGTGAGGTCACGGGCCTGGCGGGTAAGGGCCACTCCCACTGAGGACAGGCTGCCCTTGCTCACCTGGCTTCCTCTTCTCCCTCTGAAGGGCTGGGGTTTCCGCTGCACAAAACAGAGGCAACGAAAATGGCAAGATGGCCTTTCCCTGATCTCAGTCCCCGCTACCCTCACGCAGGAGAGGGAGCCAAGCTCCGGGAACTGCAGGGGACTGAGCGGGAGGCTTCGAGAACTGCCTGCCACTTCAAGCTGCCCCCAAAGCGGGTGCCTCCTGAGAAACTAAATTCCTTAATCACCCTGCAAAGGCTGGACGAGACCTTGGAAATGTTCAAGGAAGATGTATGCATCAGGGAAGGGCAGGAATCAACTCAAAGATTTTAGAATTCTACAATTTCTTATCCCTCTGTCCACTGGAGCGGTGACAGCTACACACAGGGAAACTCCGGTTCCCCTCTGTGCGTCCCAGAAAGCCCAGGGCTGGGATGAGGTTTCCACTGGCACCAGTTCCTCCTTATCCCTACCTGTCGCTTGGTAGCGACATGACCTTGGGAAGCTCATTTGGCTTCTACCTACCTCAGGGCCCTCATCTGTGAGTGAGAGTAATGATGGCGCCTACTTCATATGATTCTTTTGAGAAGGCTAAAAAGGGCTAATTCCAATGTAACCCTGATATTTGGGGGGCTAGCAATTGGAATCCATACCAGCAAGCTCAGTGTACATTCTTGATAACCTATAATTAAGTCACTACCTCCTTCCCAGATACTGGTCTTGTAGAACCTGTTACAGAGGCCATGAAACTGTGAACAGTGCACTGTCCCAGAGGGAGGGTTATTAACGCTGGCGCCAGGCCCAACCATCAGCTATGGCCTGGAGACCCCCAACACCTGGGGGCCTTCTTGCAAGGCCCGCGAAAAGGACCGGAAGCATAATCCGTATTTGCGGGACAAAGACCACAGGGAGATATAAAAAGAAGTCCCCTGCGTGTTTCTTCACTCAGATTGAAAGTTATTCCGAGTCCGCCGGCGTAGTAAACCGTGTCCCTCCTTTTCTTTAAAGCGTCCCTTGGTTTTTCTGTGGCCTTCTGCAACACTGTGAGGATTAGCCAACCCCCGTGCGCACTCACTGAACGTTCGGGTGGGTCTCTCGGCCCCCAGCGTACTCTGCTTTTAACGCCATGCTGGGCTCCAAGGGACGGAGCGGTGCTGTCCACGGCCCTGAGCTGGCGACCCGCGTCCCCCTGACTGACAGAATGTAGTCCTTGCATTTACATGCGCTCCTCCGCACGGCGCTGTGGAAAACACGCTCAGAGGCCTCAGAGAGAAGGAATCGCATCCATCCATCCATCTGGGCTGCACAACCCCCAGGGTCCCCGGGAAAGCCTAGGGCTGGGGAAGAGGGCTTTTAATCTGACAAGTTTCACACACCACCATCTATGTGCTATGACCAAGCAGAATCACCAAAATCCACCCTAGACACAACTGTTTCCATTTAAATCCTAATGAATTAAACACTTAAATTGAAACAGAACGGTTCTTCCTTCAGTGATGGGCAAAGAGGGCTGTCTTCTCCGAGGGCAGGGCAGCCAGTCCTCTGCTGGGACATGAAATCGGTGGCTGGCTTTGCAGCAGGAACAGAGAAACAAGCTTCAGGCATGCAGACTCCCACTCGCTATTTAACTTCTTTAAGTATATTGCCCATAATTCTAGTCTCTACCTTGACCTAGCATGAGAGGTAAACAAAAGATGTTTGCCGTAAAGACTACAGCTTGGAACCTTGGCCAACATGGGATTTGGGGTGCCCACCCCCCACGCAGTTGAAAACCCACATAGAAATTAAACTGCCCTCTGCACATGCAGATTCCCAGCTGCCAGCTGGTCCTTGAACAACACAGGTTTGAACTGCACAGGTCCAGTGAACTGAGTGGGTCACCTGAAAAAAAATCCGCGTATCAGTGGACCTGCACAATTCAACCCCGCCTTGCTCAAGGGCCAAATGCATATCGAAAACAATCAAACACCTCATATTTAGCCTAAATACTGGGGTGGACAGTGAAGGAAAGGAGGAGGAGAGAGTTGTTTAAAAAAAAGCTTCGGTTTATCAAAAAATCATAATTCTATAATGTTTAAAAAGACATGCAATATTGTCTCATTATCTGGTATTCAGTGACTCAAGTCTTGCTAAAAATAAGTGTCCTACTATAGGCCTTTAAATAAGGGACCTGCTTTAATAATTAAATGGTAATTTGTAAAAAGCAGAATGCTGTCAATAACACAGCAGAGTAAGATGTTCCTTTTTAAACAACCAATTAGCCATCCGTCAGCAAATAAAAGCTCCCCTGTGGGTGTTGTGGGGGCTTGGGGGTGGGGCTCACCCACCCAGACATGCAGTGACAGGCAGACAAAACTCGGTACCGCCTGTGGAACCAGTGGACCCACAGGCCTGCCCAGACCCCTCTTCCACGGCTGGAATGTAAACCTAGAGAATGCCAATGCTGACCTGGGCAGACATACAGACGAGAAAGAGAATTTGCACAGGTCCTGACGTCCTGCAGGGAGATTCCAGCATACTACTAGAACAGCGGTTCCCAAAGTGGGGCACGCGCCCCACAGAGGGACAATTTGATTTTTAAGGGAAGCACTTCGAGAATGAGTTATTAACAGTGAATTTTTTGCATTTCTTATGGTTCTAAGGGCCTCAGATATAGTATATGAATATATATGTGACATATTTATGCATTTTAGTTCTCTATTATGTTTTGAAACTTTATTTGCTATTTTTTCATATGATTTCATATTATTATTATTTAACAATTTCTTAGTGATTTCTTCCTCAGTACTTCAACTGTCCATTTGTTCTTTTATTTTTCTCTTTCATGGATGCCATGTTCTTTGGAAGCTTGTTTAGACCAAGTTAACCCTTTGTGGTCGTATTAAATTTGGACATGGGTGTCGTACTGGTCGGAATTAATTTCCATTGAAAGAGCAGTGATACATAACATGCAGGATTATGAAGGATAAACAAGATTTATTAATTCTTTTTTGGAACTACGTCACTGTTAGTAGAATCACTACAAACGTTATCACTTTCTACGTCAGAGTCAGTATTCAAGGTGCCAAAATAAAACTCTTCATCGTTACTTTCAGATTCGCAGTAAGTACACTTCTTTCGGTAACTTTCTTTTTGCCATTTTGGAGTATTATTTTGAAATATCTTAATAAGCGAGAATGCCTAATTACAGTTAAACGTAATTTGTAAAGCTTTATTTGAAATTCTGCGAAGTATCTCCGAAGCTTGTCGATTTCTTCACTCTCAAAAGGCGACTGACTCGCCACGGTGTTCTGCATGGCGAGTGTGGAACGATCGCATTTGTTTATATTGAGTTTCGATATCTCCGATTTGTCGGGGCAATGTTTTGGTTCGTGACAAGGTCACTTAGACACTTAAGAGCTTTCAGAGAAATTATGAACTGATACATGAATGAATAGAGTTAAGATTCGTACGGTTCCTTGCTGTGGTGGCTGAGAGCAGACATACGACCGGAACGGTAAAAAAGCTTTGGTGGCTGAGAGTAGACAAACGACCGCAAAGGGTTAATGGCCTTTTAGGCTTCCTCCACGTGAAAAGATGTTCACTTTTGTAATAAGAATTGCATGTCACGGGGGCGGGGGGATGGGGAGGAAGGGGGGATCAGGATTTTAGAGATGTTTAGGTGGGGCATGGCCAAAAACAGGTTGGGAACCACTGCAGTAGAGCAAAAAAAAAACCAAAAAAAACCAGCTTGGTCACAGCAGAGGCAGCGGTAAGGGCAACTTCCCAGCACGCACCACCTAGGGAAACACTGCCCAGGCGCTGATCTCCCAGGCTGTGGCCACCTCTCAGGTGCTGATCTCCAGGCTGTGGCCACCTCTCAGGCGCTGATCTCCCAGGCTGTGGCCACCTCTCAGGTGCTGATCTCCAGGCTGTGGCCACCTCTCAGGTGCTGATCTCCAGGCTGTGGCCACCTCTCAGGTGCTGATCTCCAGGCTGTGCTGTGGCCACCTCTCAGGCGCTGATCTCCCAGGCTGTGGCCACCTCTCCGGCGCTGATCTCCAGGCCGTGGCCACCTCTCAGGCGCTGATCTCCCAGGCTGTGGCCACCTCTCAGGCGCTGATCTCCCAGGCTGTGGCCACCTCTCAGGCGCTGATCTCCAGGCTGTGGCCACCTCTCAGGTGCTGATCTCCAGGCTGTGGCCACCTCTCAGATGCTGATCTCCAGGCTGTGGCCACCTCTCAGGTGCTGATCTCCAGGCTGTGGCCACCTCTCAGGCGCTGATCTCCCAGGCTGTGGCCACCTCTCAGGTGCTGATCTCCCAGGCTGTGGCCACCTCTCAGGCGCTGATCTCCCAGGCTGTGGCCACCTCTCAGGTGCTGATCTCCAGGCCGTGGCC